AGGTCAAAAGATAATTTAGCGGATCCGTTTACAAAAGGTTTGACAAGAGAGCAAGTGTATAATTCATCAACGGGAATGGGATTAAAACCGAAAGCTAACGAGTCATCTTAATGGAACCCAACCTAGTTGACTGGAGATCCCAAGATCTAGGTTCAAAGGGACAACAAAAATTTTGAATGGCTCACCAGAAATACTGGGAAGATTTAATCTTCTACCTATTTCTATGATGAGACAGTGCTACCTACAGCGATGAGTAGGATAAGCTATGCTTCTAATGACTCTTATACCTTAAAAATTCAAGTGGGGTATAGTAGGATACTCTTAATAAGAAGTCACCTATATGAGTGTGAAGTGGGGCCACTTCTATTAGAACTTCTAAGGCTAAGTTTTCTAGAGCTCTCATGAAATACTAGGAGTTGTTCAGGGCCATATGAACACAACCGTGAGAATTGACTTTCTGTAGGAAGGACCTGTGTGTTTGCTATTGTCTTGGTTTACATCAATGGCTGAACAGTTTAAGACATTATGTTCACTGGTTAGCCAGTAAATCTGATAGTAATACACTAGGGAAGGTTCAAGGCCAAAAGCTACCTATCCCGATGCAGTAACTTTTTAATAGTACTCTCTCTAGTGTCTGTATCTTCTTCATTTGCATTTTACGCAAATTTCCATTCATGTGGGGGATTGTTGGAACGGGGACATTAAAAACATAAACTTTGGATGAGATTTGGAATAGATTCTGCTAAGAATTTTTTGTGGATCTCTTGACAAGCGCGTTTCTCTCCGCAAGGAGATGAACGTGGTATATTTACTTTCTCAAATCCGTTTTCGGGTGAATGAGAAATTAGCTTAAGTGTGGTGTTTTGATAAGACTAAATGGTTATACAAAATGTAGGAAGTGTTTGTCCTACATGGAAAAAATGTTGAAACCAATTGAAATTTAAATAAGCCAAATTTGGGAATTGGGCTTGGGCTTGGGCCTAATTGTAAAGTCCGATTATTCTTTTTACTAAATGGAATTTTGGATTGTGCTTTTATTTTTGGGCTGGGCTTATTTAAATGGGTGGTTAGTTTTTGAATTTAAATTAAAAGTCTTTTTTTTTTTTTTTTTTTTTTTTTTTTTTTCTAAAGGGTTGCATCTGTTTTCCAAAGAGTTGCATCTGTTTCTAAAGGGTTGCAACTTGTGCTGAACCAAAATGACCCATGGTTGCACCCATACCCGAAAAGGCACTTTACTTCCTATAAATACCCCCCTTTGGGGTCATTTGCAATCACACCAATTCAGAAAATCATTCTTCTCTTTCTAAATTATCTTCTTCCTTCTTTCTTCTTCTATAATTATCTGTGGGTTCAAGCCCTAGTTTGTGGGTTCGAGCCTTAGTCAATGAGCTAGAGTCCGACTTCGAGTTAAAGAGTACTACACTGAGCCGGTTCGCCTATTCCTTTGGTTTACAGTGCTACTACTGAAGGAAGACAAATCGTTGTATCCTGGGAGATAGACGCCATTGAGTCCGTTAGCACCATAGCAGGGCGAATCTATTCTAACCTCGACTTTTAATCAGGTTCCTTTATTTTATAGTTCTTATTTTATTATATTAAACTATATATTATAATTAATTATATATATAGATTATTATTTCATAATAATAATTATATATATATATATATATATATATATATATATATATATATATATATATATATACACATTATATTTTTACATAATATTTAAATAAATAGTACTATAGTATATGGTATACTTAGACCATATTTTAGACAACATATACAGATGAGGATGGTGATGAGGATAAGGATGATGATGAGGAGAGTGGTGGAGATGATTGATGTCTTTCTGACCTTATTTTTGGGGAGATAATGATATTGATATCTTTTATCTATTAATCATGCATTATGATATCATATTTTTGTTTAACATGGTCATTATTTTTTGAAATTATATTTTGACTAAATGACATGTTTAATTGTTCTACTGTTTCTCATATTTCTCTCTACTCTTTATACTCTTTGTCAATTTTATTTCAAAAAGGGGGAGACCAATGTTATATTTAGGGAGAGAAAATTGGATATTTACTTAAGGGGGAGTTTTATAATTTTTTTTTATATTATTAAACTTCACTATAGTTTTTGCTTGATAATGTGCAAAAAATCAGGTCAAATTGTTTATCCAAGAAGATAAGAGAACATAGAATAAATTCCAGAAATTCCGTGTTGTCCTTTGAACAAAATTGTAATTTACTTTTCTGCTTGAGTAGATTACTTAATTGTTTTTAGGGTTTCGTCATGAAATTGCCAAAGGGGAAGATTGCGAGATATAAATTTTGTAATTGGCAAATTTCGGTGTCAAAACAAGTCCGATCGAGTTGTAATTTCAAGTTACCATATTAGGATTGAGATCGACTGCGGAATTGGAAGGTTGTTCAGTGATACTAAACTGAAATCATTGAAAAAGGAAAGAACAACATTTTAGGAAGAAATCTAAAAAGGTTAAGACACGTTCCATACTTGGTATATTTTTAGATCTTACCAAAACCGTGTTTTCAAACCTTCAGAGCCTTAGGATTCAAGTTTGGCAAATATGAATTGGTTCAAGCTTTTTGGAACTGGTTCAAGCTCATCAAAATTGCTTTGAAATTTTCACTGCCATTCTTAAACTGGTTCAGCCTTTCTTCAACCAGTTTAAGGGTCTTCTATAGGATTTGGTAACTTTGTAATCCTATTCTGATTTCTTTCCTAGTTGGTTTAGAATTATACCAAAAGTCCTATGCAGGGAATTTCATTTATTTTCTGAAAGATTAGGTCTTTGAAAATTCTATATAAACCTTGATAGTCATCTAAGTTTAGTACGACATTTACATTACAACTTCATTATTTATAAAAGCCTTAGGAAAATTATTTTTGTAGAAAATCAAAGTTGATTTCTTTATCAGTCTTTCTAAAACATACACATAAACACAAGAGTGAGTTTAGAGTGTTGTTTAAATCCTGATCGTGATCAAAGTATTGCATCTACAACGATCAGATAAAATCAGATCTACTTCTACATCGAATTCAGATATTGAAGAACAGAAGTAAAAGTGATTACACTTTGAAAGGGTCAAAGCATTCGAGGAGTGTTGTTTGATCTACCTATAACCCTTCTATAGAGATCAATCATAATTCTGAGGTCAAGTGCTGTTGGACGAGACGTCATAAAGCCAAATGATTGTCAGCTATTGGTATTTGGTAAAACGATAGGGTGTGAACCTGAGTCAAAGTTCAGTGTACTTTGTTTCAAACATAGTGGATCAATTTACTTTGGATTGCACAGTCCACGAGGTTTTTCCCACTCAAACAATTGGTCTATTTTATCAATTGGGGTTTCTTCGCTAAAAATTACTTTGCTTTATTTTATCTTGCATGTCATTAATTATTTAATTGCTAAAATAAGTAAAGATTAGAAAGACACAAGATCTGTTTCTAAAAATACAAAACTTTCTATATATTCCTCTACGTACAACTTACAACAGTGACTTGGACTCTAGTCAACATGTGAAACAGAGTTTGTGATGATGACGTGGCAGTTGTATATGGTGGCAATAACATATAGATGTGAACTAATTTGAAATAAAAAAAGCTAAGGTGACAATGATTATTGTTAGGATGGTTTTAAGTGGATAAATATGAGTTTATTTGATAACGACCATTTATGGAGTTTTGATAAAGACCATACTCTGTTACAAAGTGGACAAGTTTTATATAGGGGTGCACACGGTTCGGTTTGGTCTGATTTTAAGAATTTTTGGAACCAAACTGCTCCCTACGATTCTAGAAACTCTAAAACCGAACCAGATCATTTGAGCCATGGAACCAAACCAAGCACAAACCGTGAAAAAACAGTTCGGTTCGATTCGGTTCCACTGTTCTAGTTGAATTTTATTTTCCTTTTTTTTTCCTCTTAAATTGTATATACAACAAAAATATCAATAAAAGTATTCACATTCCCCAATCCAAGACTAAAATAGAGAGAGAAAAAAAGAGAGAGGGGAAAGTGGGTGAAATAGACCTAAAAGCTAAGCTCGAGAAATTAAAATAAGGTTGAATCTTATTGAAACTGAATAGGATGACAAATCCGTGGTTGAAAATTAAGAAACTTGATTCTTTGTGGTTATTGGTTGTGCTTGAGAAGCAAATACGCCATTAGACTTAGAGATCTGTGAACTGAAAGTGAGAGAGAAAGGGAAAGAGTTTGAGAAAAAGGATGTCACTGATGCCAGTTATAAAAGATTGACGACAATGACTGAATTTCGAAGGTTGGTTGAGAGAGATTGATCAACAATTAGATCCAGCGGCGATAAGAACTAAGAAGTGAATGAGGCGGCGTGAGCAAAGAAAAACAATGAGATAGTGGAGGAATGTTGGCACGCACCCAAAAATAAAAACATTTGGAGAAGTAAAAGCAAATAAAAAATCAGATAATGATGAATGGTTGTGCCGAAATCCCTTCCAGAGTTAAGAGTAGTATATATGCATATACATATATATAATATAACATATATTTGTATATATAATATAACGGTTCGGTTTAGGCCGGTCCAGTTCTATATGACCTTAATTCAGGACCAAATCCAAAATTCTTAATTCCATTATTTCAAAATCGTGACTTGAACGAATCAATATGAAATCAGCCCAAATCGTCCGATTCGATCCGATTTAATTTTTTAGGTTGGCGATTTTATCCAAATTGGCAATTTTTTTTTTGGACACCCTTAATTTTATAGGAAGGAGGGAGTATACTCAAGAAATGACAAAGTCAAATCCACACTCAATAGTCGATGCCCATTTGATCTCAGTCGTCCACTATCCTATATTCTCGACGAGTCTTCCATAAACATGTGGCAAACATCGTTCCTCATACACTCAAATCACACATACAATCAATTATTTAATCTCCATAGGTCCCACTATCATTATCATCTATTTGTTTTATATCATCTTGAGGCCTATCTCCAATATCAACCCTTCCTTTTTCCCTCAAAACTGCACTTTCCTCTATGCCCTTCCTCCTCACTTTCCTCATTCGCTTTCTCAGGTCCTTCGGACTAACCTGTGTGACCATGGACTCAACCCCAAATGAACCGACATGGCCACAACTTCTTGGAAGCAACAACTGGGAAGGCCTTCTTGAACCGTTAGACCTCAGCCTCCGGCAACTCATTCTCCGGTGCGGCGACTTCTGTCAAGCCACCTACGACGCCTTCAACAACGACCAAAACTCCAGATACTGCGGCAGCAGCCGTTATGGCAAGAACAACTTCTTCCACAAAGTCATGCTCGAGTCAGCATCACAGTACCAAGTCTCCGCCTTCCTCTATGCCACCGCCCGAGTCAGCGACCACGAAGCCCTCCTCCTCCACTCCCTGTCACGCGAGTCATGGGACCGCGAGTCTAATTGGATCGGATACATTGCCGTCACCACTGATGAACTGAGTCAAGCCTTGGGCCGACGTGAAATCTACATCGCATGGCGTGGGACGACACGGGACTACGAATGGATCAATGTGTTAGGGGCCAAGCTTGACTCTGCGGACTCATTGTTAAGCCCCAAAACTCTGAAAAAAGCCGGAGATAAGGCCAGTAGTAGTGACAGTGATGAAGATGATGAGAATGTGCCCAAAGTCATGCAGGGTTGGCTTACTATATACACATCAGAGGATCCAAAATCAGCATTTACTAAACTAAGTGCAAGAACACAACTTTTGAACAACGTCAATGCTTTGTTGAACAAATACAAGGGTGAGAACCTGAGTATAACGTTCACTGGGCACAGTCTCGGTGCAAGTCTGTCCGTGTTATCGGCTTTCGACATCGCTGAGAACGGTGTTAAGGATATTCCGGTATCGGCTTTTGTGTTCGGCTGTCCACAAGTGGGTAACAAGGCTTTCAATGAGAGGCTCAAGCAGTTTCCAAACGTCAAAGTGTTGCACATAAGGAACAAAATCGATCTCATACCGCTCTATCCGAGTGGGTTATTGGGCTATGTGAATTCGGGGATTGAGCTTATGATTGATAACCGGAAATCGCCTAGCTTGAAGGAGTCGAAAAACCCTAGCGACTGGCACAACTTGCAGGCTATGTTACATGTTGTGGCGGGTTGGAATGGAGATGATGGAGAGTTTGAGCTGAAGGTGGAGAGGAGTTTGGCTTTGGTGAACAAGTCCAGTGAGATTCTGAAAGAAGAGTATTTGATTCCTGGGTCATGGTGGGTTGAGAAAAACAAAGGGATGGTGCGTGACGGAAATGGGGAGTGGGTTTTGTCGCCACCAGATGATGAGGACCTACCTGTCCCTGAATATTGACTATGTGGTATGGGGGCTGTGTGTGTCTGAGTGGTTGGTGGGTCTTTTTCTTATCGTCTTTGAATGGTATAAATTGATTTTCTATCTTTCAGCTCTGTAGACCTTGTCATTTCAAGATCAGTTCATTGAATGGATCACCTGGGTTTGTGATAGGGATTTTTTTTTTTTTTTTTTTTTTTCCTTCTTCAATGTGATTGGGATTCAATATTTGTGTTTCGTAACACTTGTACGTGTGTATGTTTTTTTTTTTTGGTAAGGTATAGGTTATATTGCTTTCATTCAACTAAAAGTTAAAATATATGTATAGTAGGTCATCAATTTGGATCACATTAAAGGAAGGTTATATTCTGAAAGTCAACTTGGATCACTTTTTTGTTTTGTTTAAACCAATCAAGATTGCTGCTTGCCATAGTGCCATCAGATGGTTCTATAACCAGTCTCATGCATTCCCCAGTCACCTTTACCATTTTTTTTAGCATTTCCTAATCAAATTTCAACATTTGCAATCTATTAGTGTTCTCTTTTGCTTTTAAATAGATGGAATTCATACATATATAATTATTATAAAAAAAAAGGATTAACATATAGTCGGCTTCACAATTTCTAAAAGTTACCATCATGTTAAGATAATATATATCTGTATGTGACAGTAATGAAGTTAAAGAAGACAAACTGACCACGTATGAAAGGGACTACTCGAAACCATTAATGACCACATATATTTAGTTTTTATTTTTATTTTTATTTATTTTGTTTGCAATCTACCACCATACCTTGTAATATATAAAAACAAACTGACCACGGATGAAAGGGACTACTCGAAACCATTAATGACCACATATTTAGTTTTTATTATTATTATTTTATTATTTTGTTTGCAATCTACAACCATACTTTGTAATATATAAAAAATTGTAAGAAGAAGTTTGGTTTATATGGTTAACATAGTCATGAAGATCATAAGTATAGGATCTGCGGATTCATGATGATGCTCGCGTGCAAAAGTTCACAAGACTAAGAAAAGTCAAAATTAATGCAACACACTAAAAGAATAATAAGAGCCCGATGATTCTTTAGTTGGGCTTATGGAGTTGGGCTTGAACCCCACTTCTTGTCTGGCCCACGTGACATGATACCTTTCTTAGAGTATGTTTAGTATAGTGAAAATTGAAAAAGAAAGAAATGATAATATTAATTAAGAAGGCAAAAGAAAAGAAAGAAAATGGGAGGATAGTGTTAGTTTGGTTAATTAATAAAAAAAATGAAATAAAATGATAGTAATTATGTTTGAAGAAAAAAATGAAATGAATTTAACGTAATGAATTTACAACTATACCATTTTTTATAGAATTTTTCTCTTATACATATAAAGGTAAATTTGATATTAACAAAATATCATTAAAAATATTAGCTTTCTTTCCCTTTTCCTTCATTTTTGGGAGATAACAAAAATTACTATTTATACTTTAGCCTTTACTTCCAAACCTCTCAATTCCCTTTCCATCTAACATTTTATACCAAACACAACTTTTTTATTTTTTTCCATTTCCTTCCTTTTCTTTTCCTCCTATTTCCATTTACCAAACTTAGCTTCAATGATGTGTCGAGCCTCCATTTGAGGAGAATTTTTTTCCCACTTTGCCCCCAAATTCCCTACTTGTCCCTATTTTGAAGGACGGAATCAAGCGTGAGTTCGTGACGAGTAGTTTAACGAGACATCCGCCTCAACTTGAATGGGTACCCTTTGAAATTCACTGTTCCTGTACTGGTTTCGCAGATCTAGGCCTCACGCTTATGTCTCAATCATCCAAAGCTTTTGTCGTCTCCCATCTTCTTGATTACTTGCGATTTTTTCTGGTTAGTCTCTCTTTTTCTCTATTCTCTTTCCATCTTACTTAGTTAATCATGAGTTTCGAAGACGTTAACGTCACAAATCCATAAAACAGACTATCTTTTCAAAATCTGACAAGATAGGGTGAAGAAGAAAAATTTTGAATCTTAATTACCATATATATATATATTGAATGTCTAGTTTTGAGGGCTTGAGAGAAAGTTCTTGTTACACTTGCACAGAGAGTATAGAGAGACGACTATGTGAAGAGAGAAACCAGACGTCCTTTCTCTTTCTATTCTTTTCCTTTTTTTTTTCTTTTTTTTTCTTTTTTGTAGGTGCCTTTCAGTACTAATTAGTTCTAATGCTGCCTCCCTAGTTCTTTTGGGTTTACATTTATATGTGCTTTCATTATGTATCTGAACTGTATTTAGGTATAATTGTGTAGTATATACTTCACCTTTCTCTCTCAAGTACCACTGTTCACTCCCGTCTATGTTCATCGAAGTTCTGTGTCTCCTCTCTTAGTAGATGTGCTCTGTTCATCAGAGGTTGAATTTCTCCAAGTTGGTGGTTCTATTGGATAAATTCCGTACTCAATTCAGGAAAAAGTTAATATGGATGGTCGGATCCGTTGGAAATTTGGGTCCTATGGGTTGTTGGATCAAGTGTATTGAAAGGTGGATGGTTTATTGGACAATCTCCACTATTTTCCCCTTTTGATCTAAGTATTGGGTTGGTTTTATTGGCTTCTATTTTAGTTCTAACTTTTTTTGGCCAATTGCTTATAAGTGCCGAGTTTTCATCTATGGCTCGTTAGGGTTGGTTGTTGCAAGTATTTATCTGTCGGTGGGTACGCCATTTGGGAAAGGATGTTTCGTTTCTTGTGGTGCGCCGTTTTCTTAGTCTTGTGTGCTGGTGTTTCTTTCACGTTTATGTAACGACCAGAACCTGTGGGTTCGAACCGTTAAACGGGTCCTTACTTGAACCCGATGTCAACTAAGTCAACACCGTTCATTCCTACATCAATATCTAACACACAAGTCAATCCAGGACCCAAGATACACTAAAGGCACAACCTAACAAAATATTCAAGTGAGCAGGTCAAAGGGGAAGGGTCGGTCGGTCAAAACTGTATGGTCCGCCGGCTAACTGAGATGGTCAGTCGGCCGAAACGATCCTCAATTATGCAAACTCTCGGGACTTTACTATAGTGGTCCTTCAGCCAACTGAAAGTGAAGTTCGACTGACTGATCCACAACTTGCTGAAACGACCTCCAAGATTGTATGCTCTCGGGATTTCTTTAAAATGAACTGTCGGCCGGCTGGTGATGGGGTGTCGGCCGACTGATAATGGAGTTTCGGTCGACCAACGATGAGGTTCGGTCGGCCGAAACAAGGCTTCTCATTTACTCAACTCACTGGAATGGCCTCGAGATGCCTGTCAGTCAGCTGATATACCTTATTAGCTGGCTGACATGCCCTGGAATGCTGCTATGTGCAGCCTGAAAGTCAAAAAATCTGGGTTCTTGATAAGCTAAACTTGATAATCACTCAATTCCGAATTTACGACAACAATGCATAATGATATACATCTAAACACATCCATAATTAATCACAAAATATTTTAGCATTTCCCATTCATTACAAAGATGCCAACATTGTTCCACATTTACATTAAACCACTGTCAATTATCATAATTAAATTACATGGCCATGCTCTACAATTGATACATAATGGAAATTTAAACTTTACAAAAGAATGGCTCATGTGCACAAAAGGAAGCAAAATAAACTTCAAGTCCTCGAACTAGACTTGTGGTGGACCGTCATCCGCCACTTCTTTTCCGAGCCTTGAAAAATGCTAATAATAGAGGAATGAGCACAATGACTCAGTAGGATGTTCCTAAGACACATCTCTTGAAACCCCGTGCATCCATAATGAATAGGAGTAAAGAAAATGGGATCATGCCTTACAGGGAGAAATACAACCACAATATCAATATCAACTGTCCAAGTCATGAATAATCTATGTTGTGCTATAAAATGTAATGCAATGCGATGCAATATAATGTCACTCCCCGTTTACAGAACATTTCTATTTCATCGTTCCAAACCGTTAATGCAATTCGACCCATAGTGCCTCTATGACATCACGAGGGAAGGGTTCGCTAGTTATCCTCGACCACATAGCACCTCAATGTCGTTGTCTAGACCTAGGTAGCTCAACCACACTAGAGTCTTTCCCTTGTTCCCTCTAGATTACATTAACACCACAGACCACTAGGTGCCTCCTAGGCGTCCGGGTTTTCGCAAACTTTTCATCAACAATTTTCCAAAACCTTTTTAAATGTCCTTTAAGTTAAAACTCTCTCATTTCATGCCCAATGATATGCAGGGATGTCTCATACTTTTCAATGCCATGTCTATAGAGAATTTGTAACTCATAAATTAACATGCTTCCATACTTCCAATTCTAACAATTTAAACATAATAAGCATAGAAAATCATCACATAAGCATGCTTTCTCACACAAATCATCTAATACACATAGGCATATAGTTCATATACAACATTTAAATCATTTTAGAGGAAATCAACACAAGTTTAACATGCTAAACCACAAATCATGGAAAAATTGACTTACAAAAGCCTAAGAAATCATGGATTAGGAACTCCTACATCAATTTGAAGAAAAGTTCCAATTTCCACCCCAAGCCCTAGAATTTCGAATTCCCCCAAAGGTGGCCAAATGGAGATTGGCTCCGATCAAAACGACGGCCTCGACGAGCTCTACAACTTTGCCCAAAATGATACTATCAAATTCCCGACGGACAAGGCTAGATCAAGCCTTGAATTTTAGGAGAAAAAGAAAAAGAAACTGAAAGGGGAGAAAGAGAGAGAGGCGTGGGATTTTTGAGAGAGAGAATGAGACCAAATAATGGTCTCTTGACCATTTAAGAAAAGGAAAAATGGTGGTGGGTCCCACCATAAATAAAATCCCACTATATTTCTATATACATAATTTAATTTTATTCCAACCACATAATTTAACACAATACCACAAAACTATACATAAAATAGTTATATATGACATGCAATGACCTGTGACGCAACCCTCGTGCACAACGATCCCGGTAGCAGGTCCCAACCGGGACCTTCCGGCCCGAAAAGCAAAAAAATGCCGAAATGACAACCAGTACGTTTCTAAGAGTCCTGAACTCAAGGAAATGTCCCAAACCACTCTCTGACACACCCGGCACACCCCACGGTATCTGGGCAGCAAAATAGGAAAAGACAAAAATACCCTTAAAAATCAAAAAATTCCAGAAATTAGAAAATGATAAAATTCAGGAACATTACATTCTCCTCAACTTAAAAGGATTTCGTTCCCAAAATCAAAGCGTACCTAGGGGAGAGAACAATGCTGGATACTTGGAGCAAACATCCTGTTCGAGCTCCCAAGTAGCTTCATCAACATCGTGATGCCTCCAAAGAACCTTCACCAATGGTATCATTTTGTCCCTTAACACCATCTGCTATGTGTCAAAGAACTGGACTGGTCCCTCTTTATAGGAGACATCCTCATCAATGTCCATATCAACCCAATCGAGAATGTGAGATGGATCCGGCTCATATTTCCGCAACATAGAAACATGAAAAACATTGTGAGCCCTGTCCAACTGTGGTGGCAATGCAAGCCTGCAGGCAACCTCTCCTATCCGGTCCAAAATCTCAAATGGTCCAATGAATCGTGGCGACAACTTGCCATTTTTCTCGAACCTTAGCAATCCCTTTCGTAGAGAAACTCGAAATATGGTCTCCCACCTCAAAGGATAGCGGTCGTCTCCACTTATCCGCATAACTCTTCTGTCGGCTCTGAGCTGTGAGCAACCTCTATCTGATCAGCTTAATCTTCTCAGTAGTCTCGAGTACAATGTCGGGTCCTAAGGCGGCTGTCTCGCCCACCTCAGTCCAACAGACTGGAGACCTATAAGGTCTACCATACAACGTCTCAAATGGAGCCATCTCAATACTTGCCTGATAACTGTTGTTGTAGGCAAACTCAATAAGTGGAAGGTGATCCTCCCAATTACCTCCCAAATCAAGTACACATGCTTGAAGCATATCCTCCAATATCTGAATGGTACGCTCCGCCAAACGCTGCGTGAAGTCTTTCCCAGAACTTTGAAGTGAATTTGGCATCCTTATCTGAAACAATAGATAATGGAACTCAGTGTAGCCGCGCAATTTCCTTCACATATAGCACACCAAGTGCCTCTGCATCATCTGTTGCCTTAATAGGCAAAAAGTGAGCCGTCTTGGTCAATCTGTCAATAATGACCCATACGGTTTAATTTTCCCTCCGCAACCTAGGAAGACCTGTCACAAAATTCATGGCAATCTGTTCCCATTTCCACTGCGCTACCGGCAATGGCTGTAGCAAACCCGCTGGTCTCTGGTGCTCGGCCTTCACCTGCTGACAGGTAAGGTATCTAGCCACAAACTGTGTAACATCATTCTTCATCATATTCCACCAATATTGACATCTTAAATTGTGATACATCTTAGTACCACCTGGGTGAATTGCAAAGCGAGAAGTGTGAAACTCCCGTAAGACTTCCTCACGACTAATTATAGGAACAACTAATAGACCCCTGAACCATTGACCTCCATCTGCATGTAAGGTCCAATCTTTCACTGTCTCGCTACTAGAGATCAAAGTGTGAATGACATCCAAATCTGGATCCTGTCTTTGTGACTCAATCACTCGTCCGACAAGAGTGGGTTGAGCCACGAGACTAAACAAGAATGCTAACTCACTGCCATTATCATCATCAAAACAGGATAATCCCATCTCCGCCAAATCCTACAGCATCATCCACTTCCGAATGGCTAAACCGACCAAAGTCCCATGAGATTTCCGACTTAAGGCATCAACTACCATAGTTGCCTTGCCCGAATGATACTGCAAATCAAAGTTATAGTTTTCTAAGAACTCAACCCATCGCCTCTGTCTGTTGTTTAGTCCTTTTGGGAAAAAAGGTACTTGAGACTCTTGTGATCCGAAAACACCTTAAATCTCTCGCCATACAAATAATGTCTCTAATACTTCAAAGCAAACACAACTGCCGCCAATTCCAAGTCATGAGTAGGGTAGTTAAGCTCGTGAGTCTTCAACTGTCGAGACCCATAAGCCACTACTCTACCATTCTGCATCAGCACACAACCCAAACTATTGTGTGAAGCATCACAATAAATCACATAACCCAAGCCACGCTCAGGTATTACCAACACTAGCACCATAGTCAACCTTGTCTTCAACTCCTGAAAGGAAGATTCACAAACTTCATTCCATGTAAATTTGATTCCTTTTTGGGTCAATCTAGTCATAAGAGTTGCCAAACGAGAATTTTTTTTTACAAATCTGCGATAATATCCCGCTAGGCCAAGAAAATTTCGAATCTTAAAAACATTTTGGGGCTGCTCCCAATTCAGAACTACTTCAATCTTTGATGGATCAACTGACACTCCACCTTCTGAGACGATATGTCCCAAAAATTTCACCTCTTGTAGCCAAAATTCACATTTCTCATATTTGGCGTACAAACGGTGCTCTTATAGCATCTGCAACACTATACTCAAATGGACTTCGTGTTCCTCCCGAGTCCGTGAATACCCAAGTATGTCATCCACGAAAACTACCACAAACTAGTGCAAGTAATCGTGGAAGACACGGTTCATTAAGTCCATGAATGCCGCTGACGCATTAGTCAAGCCAAAAGGCATAATAAGGAACTCATAATGTCCATACCATGTACGAATAGCGGTCTTCCAAATATCTTCATCCCTAACCCATAACTGATAATAGCTTGACCTCAAGTCAATCTTCGAAAAATAATTAGCTCCCTTTAACTGGTCAAACATATCATATATCCTTGGCAAATGATACTTGTTCTTGATGGTGGCATGATTCAACTTCCGATAATCAATGCACAACCTCAAAGAACCATCATTCTTCTTAGCAAACAAGACCGGTGCGCCCCACGGTGACACACTCGGTCGGATGAAGCCTTTCACCCCAAATCATCAAGCCGCTTCTTCAATTCTTCCAATTCAATCGGTGCCATACGATATGGTGCCATAAAAATTAGCGCGGTACTAGGCATCAAGTCAATAGCAAACACTACCTCTCGGTGTGGAGGCAACTCTATCAAGTCCTCCGAAAACACATCTAAAAAATCATGCACAACTTCTAAATAATCAACCCCACAAAACTCAACATCATCGTCAGCAAAAAGGCTAGCCAAGAAGAATGTCTGTCGATCTCGACCTCTAATGTTGTAAAATGAAGGAGTGAGAGAATCACACCGATGCCCCACAAAACAGAAGCAATCCCCATCCGAGGTACACACTGAAACTCTGCCCCTAAAGCAATCAATAATGGCTCTGAAAGTCAACAACCAGTCCATCCCAAGTATGACGTCAAATTCTGTCATCTCGAGAAGGATGGGATCGAACTCAAGTACTCATCCAGAAATGGTAATGGAACAGCCCCGATAAACTCTACCAAGAGTGACTAAACTCCTAATAGGCGTGTCAACACAAAGTGGTCTGTCTAACTGATTGACCTCCAAACCCAATGCCCGTGCAAATGATGAAACAATGAATGAATAAGAAGTACTGGAATCAAACAACACTCGACCCCAAGAATGGGACACAAGAAACGTACCCCTGACAACTGAAGGACTGGATGATGGATCGACTAGAGTGATTGCATACACACCACCTTGGGTCCTCTGCCCTTGAGACCATCTGCCTGATAACCAGACTGCTGAGTGGGTGCACTAGAAGAAGTCCCTCTGCCCGGTCAAGAACTCTGAGCTGTCATAACTGGCTGAGATGACTGAGGTGGTGGTGCCTGTCAAAACCCTGACTGTTCATTCTTCTACTTAATAGCTTTGAAACAAGTAACATTCGATTTAGAAGACCCAATGGACACTGAGGCTGTGGGTGCGGATCTGGCTGACTGCCGTCCTCTGAATTTGACTGTTCATTCTTCTGCTTTTTATGTGATTGACCCTTGGAGATGACACTCATGCTCTTACTGTTCTTATAGGACTCCCTAATAGCTTTGTTATCTTTGCTTTCGGCCTTAACCACTAAGGCCTTCCTCACTGCTTTTACATATTCGGTCAATTCTGCGGCGACCACAATTGGCCTAATGACGAGGTTAAGGCCATCAACAAATTTTTCTGTCTTCCCTTCCTCATTTTTAACAATCTCTGGTGCAAACCTCAAAAGAGATGTGAACTTGTTCTCATATTCAGGACTGTCATATTTCCTTGCTTTAAGCCATCAAACTCTTTCTTCAACTCCCTTCTCTTAGGCGCTGAAAAATACTTTTCATAGAAAAGTTTCTTGAAAGCATCATATGTCATGGTATCCACATTGTGGGTATGAGACATGGTCTTCCACTAAATCTTTACATCCCCAATAAAATTGTAAGTCGCCAAGGTAATCTTCAACTTGTCTGATGCCAAATTCATAGCGTTAAGATGCTTCTCTACCCTTTCCATGAAATTATCTGCAACAAGCAGATCTGGGCAGCCCTCAAACAAAGTCGGCATTAACTTCACAAAATTTGCAATATAATAAAGAGTCTCATCCGACTCACTTTTCTTTGAAGGTGGTGCCGGTGGTGACATAACCTGTGACGATGATGCCCTGAATGACTGAAACACATCATGCAAGACTGCCTGTACGGCCAACTTCAACTGCTCCTTACTTATCTAAAGAGGTGGATCAACGGTCTCCCTCGTTTGTCCCCCTCTTGGTGGGATCAAATTACGCAACAAGACATTTTCTTCAACTTACTCCTGATCCCTTTCTATGGGATTGGAGCGAGAACTTTTCTCGAGATCCCTTCGTGGTGGCATGACGCTAAAAAGAAGAAGAAACGAGTCAAAACAATGACACAAAAGTACACACAAGAACGGAGTCATCACACGAATGACTCGACAAGAATGACAACATTTGAACACATTCCATGCTCCCAAAAAAACCCGACCAATGATGAACATGGTCATACTATCACCATACAATAACACTGAACACTTAGCACGTAATCACAAAACAGGAAATCAAGTGGGCAATTAGGCATGCTTTTCAAACAATTTAAACACTTAACACATAAGCAATTAAACATGTAGTTCAACTTCCCCATGCAATCCTAGTTAGGCCTTACCCGTTGTCCTAATAGCATTCGAACCTTCGTTTTGATACCAATTTGTAATGACTTGAACTCGTGGGTCCGAACAGTTAAACGGGTCTTTACTCGAACCCGAGATCAACTAATTCAACACCGTCCATTCCTACATCAATATCTGACACATGAGTCAATCCAGGGCCCAAGATACACTAAAGGCATAACTTAACAAAATATTCAAGTGAGCAGGTCAAATGGGAAGGGTCGGCCGGCTGAAACTGCATGGTCGGCCGGCTGACTGAGATGATCAGTAGGCCGAAACGATCCTCAATTATGCAAACTCTCGGGACTTTGCTATAGTGGTCCTTCAGTTGACTGAAAGTGAGGTTCGGCGGATTGATCCACAAGGTCGGCCGGCTGAAACGACCTTCAAGATTGTATGCTCTCAGGATTTCTCTAAAATGAACTGTCGGCCGACTGGTGATGGAGTTTTGGTCGACCAACGATGAGGTTCGATCAGCTAAAACAAGGCTTCTCATTTACTCAACTCACTGGAATGGCCTTGAGATACCTGTCAGTCGGTTGATATACCTTGTTAGCCGGCTGACAAGCCTTGGAATGTTGCTATGTGAAGCCTAAAAGTCCAGCAATCTGGGCTCTTGATGAGCTAAACCTGATAATCACTCAATTCCGAATTCACGACAACAGTGCATAATGATATACAACTAAACACATCCATAATCAATCACAGAATATTTTAGCATTTCCCATTCATTACAAAGATGCCAACATAGTTATACATTTACATTAAACTACTGTCAATTATCATAATTAAATTACATGGCCATGCTCTACAATTGATACATTCTGGAAATTTAAGCTTTACAAAAGAATGGTTCATGTGCACAAAAGGTAGCAAAATAAACTTCAAGTCCTCGAACTAGACTTGTGGTGGACCGTCATCCGTCACTTCTTTCCCGAGCCCTGAAAAATGTTAATAACAGAGGGATGAACACAATGACTCAGTAGGATGTGCCTAAGACACACCTCTTGAAACCCCGTGAATCCACAATGAATAGGAATAGAGAAAATGGGATCATGCCTTACCGGGAGAAATACAACCACAATATCAATATCAACTATCCAAGTCATGAATAATCTATGCCGTGCTATAAAATGCAGTGCAATGTCACTCCCCGTTTACAAAACATTTCCATTTCATCGTTCCAAACCGTTAATGCAATCTGACTCATAGCACCTCTATGGCATCATGAGGGAAGGGTTGGCTAGCTATACCCGACCACATGACACATCCATGCCGTCGTCTAGGCCTAGGCAGCTCAACCACACTAGAGTCTCTCCATAGTTCCCTCTAGATTACAATAACACTACGTACCATTAGGCGCCTCTTAGGCGTCCGGATTTTCGCAAACTTTTCATCAAATTTTTCCCAAAACCTTTTTACATTTCCTTTAAATTAAAACTCTCCCATTTCATGTCCAATGATATGCATGGATGTCTCATACTTTTCAATGTCATATATATAGAGAATTTTGTAACTCATAAATCAACATGCTTCCATACTTCCAATTCTAACAATTTGAACATAATAAGTATGCTTTCTCAGACAAATCATCTAATAAAAATAGGCATATAATTCATATACAACATTTAAACCATTTTAGAGGAAATCAACACAAGTTTAACATGTTAAACCACAAATCATGGAAAAATTGACTCACAAAAGTCTAAGAAGTCATGGATTAGGAACCCTTACCTCAATTTGAAGAAAAACCCCAAATTTCCACCCCAAGCCATAGAATTTTCAAATTCCCCCAAAGGTGGCCAAACAGAGATTTGCTCCGATCAAAACGACGGCATCGACGAGCTCTACAACTTTGCCCAAAACGGTACTATCAAATTTCCGACGGACAGGGCTAGATCAAGCCTTGAATTTTAGGAAAAAAAGAAAAAGAAAATGAAAGGGAAGAGAGAGAGAGAGGCATGGGATTTTAGAGAGAGAGAATGAGACCAAATAATGGTCTATTGACCGTTTAAGAAAAGGAAAAATGGTGGTGGGTACCACCATAAAGAAAATTCCACCATTTTTTTATATACATAATTTAATTTAATTCCAACCACATAATTTAACACAATATCACAAAAATATACATAAAATAGTTATACATGACATGCAATAGACCCGTGACGCAACCCCCATGCACAACAATCCCGGTAGCGGGTCCCACTCGGGACCTCCGGCCCGAAAACCAGAAAAATGCCGAAATAGCAGCCAGTACATTTCTAAGAGTCCTGAACTCAAGAAAATGTCCCGAACTACTCTCTGACACACTCGGCACACCCCACGGTGTTCGGGCCGCAAAAAAGGAAAAGACGACAATACCCTTAAAAATCAGAAAATTCCAAAAATTAGAAAATGATAAAATTCAGGAGCATTACAGTTTAGGGTTGTTAGGCATTGGGCGTGTTCTTGCAGCAGGTTTGCTGCTCATTTCTCTTGCTCTGATCAGCACTCCCTCTTCTCCGGATGCCATTAACTATGGGTCGTGGCTGGTTGTCGCCAAAAAGATCTGTGAGGTTGGAAATCACTCGGTGCATAGGTTTTTTGATGCTGTCTGTTCTTGGTGGTGTTTTGTTGTTATAGACAAGGCTCACAATGATGGTGGTTCGCCGGCGATTGGTCAGTTCCCTCCGTTTGGTCATCGTGTAACCCAATGTCCCCCTCATTTCTCACGTCATACAATGTGGGGTCCGCTTTTGGCTCCATGGTTAAACTTTTATTTGTTGCTGCATGGGGAAAACGCAAGGACGGTTTGTTCTTGAACGGTTGGCCCACAAATTATAGATCACTATAATGTCAAGTACCTGATTGTAACTGTGGGCCTCTTCACTGGGGCTGATGTTCAGTTTGGTCTGGCATTAAGCCCATTTTTGTGGCCTGCAATTGAAAATGACCAATTGTCTATGGGTCTTCGTCGTTTGGACTGGGCATGGAATGCTTTTATGGGTGCAGGGTCTTTGTGCCCATACCTCATATTATGGTGGTATGGTGGTTTTGTTTGGGGTTTATCCTTATGCCTTTGCATAGGGTTGTTTCTTTGGTTGTGCTTTGTAGATGCGGTATAGCTTTTTCTTTTTGCCATGTTAAAAAATAATAATAATAATAATAATAATAATAATAAATATCTAAACTGTATTAAATAAATAATAATAATAAATTATTATTATTATTAAAGAATATGTGATATTTTTCCTAATAATAATAATAAT